TTAATATATATATATATATATATATATATATAATGTGTGTGTTTGAAAATAAATTATAACATTCTTATCCATATACCCTGAAGTGGAATTGTCGTTACACGTAATCAATCTTTAAAAAGTCAAGTTAGATGATGTTAATCAACTTTGCTTGCTTATCCTTGCAAAGTCAAATTAAAATATCTAACAACTATGTGTAAGACTTTCTTTTCTTGGACACTGACAAAAATGTTGTGGTTAGAAAGTTGAAACTTTTTTGATTAATGTATTTTTGATTAACTTTTCCAGGTTGGCCCAGCAGGATCACAGTTTGGCTTACTAGCTTGCTTTATTGTAGAGGTCATTCATTGCTGGCCAATTATGAAACAGCCAGGAATGGCCTTGCTTCGTCTTCTAGGCGTGGCTCTCATCTTGTTCATCTTAGGCTTATTACCGTGGGTTGACAACTACTCGCACCTATTTGGTTTTATATTTGGCTTCCTCCTATCCTATGCACTTCTACCATTTCTATCTTTTGGCACATACGATCGTACGACTAAAATTATCATCATTGTACTCTGCCTTGTGGTGGTGACTGTCCTCTTCTTGGGACTGGTGGTCTTATTTTACGTGCACCCGATCCACGAGTGTTCATTCTGCAAGTATTTCAACTGCATTCCCTTCACCCGCGATTTTTGTGAAACTCAAGACATCAGTGTTCTACGGAAGGACGAGTTCTGATAAGACTGTAAAATCCTTGAAGTGCCAACTTTGTGACTGGAATTTTAGCAGCGTGCTAGAACTGTTTTTTATAAAAGAGCTTTGATTTGTATATTTTAATAAATTTCTTCCATTTCGCAAGTGTGTTCTGTGTTTCTTTCATCACAAACTGTCTAGAGAAGGTTTGAACTTTTACCTTGGCCACGGCGTGTTTTTCTTTTCTCGTAAGGACAAGTTTGCTGTTACTTCTTCGATATACTTTTCTAACAATTAGAGCATTATATCTTTGTATTGAAAAATAAAATAATTCTTGCTTACGAGAATATTAAACCTATCTTTACAGTCAGTTAAGGAAGTCAGCAGTCGGAAGTTTCTTTTTGTCATTCAAAGAGTTGTTAGAAAAAAAAAGACAGATTTGGAAGGATTATTTTTCTACTTTAATAAAATTAGAGAAAGTCTTTAATAGTTTTGCCAGAAAGGGCAAAAAGAATCTAACCATTATAGATCTGGATGTAATGATGGGTTATTTTTGTCTAAAATTTTAACATGAAATAAAAAAGTGAAGGATATATTTTTAAGTCTCCGTTGACGTGATATTTAACGTAACGTACATCAAACTTTGGATTACATATTCTTTTCTCCGTCAACTACACAATCAAATGAATTAATGTGTTGCATGAGCAAAATGCTGATGTTGTGAACTCTGTAACTGTTGCAATAAAAAACAACAACAAAGATTAGTCAACTTCAGCGTTAAATATAGACTTAATTTCCCAGACATCAAGAATAATAACATTTATTGTGCAGATGATCCTCAGCACAGACTGTTCAAATAACATGGTGAGTGTAAAGACATTTAATAATTTTATTTTTTAAATTGTAACTAGAGTTTGAGTTTATTTCTTAAAAAGTGTATCTAGAAATTTCCTGTCTTTATAAGAAGATACTAAGGAATCATGGCGATGGATGACTCTCTAGTATTTGGGTTGGTGAAGCGAGTGTTAATTTTGTAACGTTAATGTGAACAATTATGTACAGGCCTAGAATTATAGTTTATAACTTATGCCATGAATGTGAAATATTGTTGGTACTTGACTCTCCGTTGTGGGTAAGTGTGAAGCTGGAATGCTTATAGCACGGGTAACTAATGTGTTTAAAACCTCTCAAACCCATTTATACTTGTATGTTGTGGAGTAACTGGCATGGTAACTTGGACAAAAATGGTATTTCTTTATCGTATAATCTTCAAAATTCATCCTGTAACTATACCTCACTCTAGATGTTTAACTTACTGTTGTTAGTACACAGTGTTTATTTTAATATACTATAGATGTTTAGCTTAATGCTGTTAGTATACAGAGTTCATATTGACATTTGAATCAACTATAGATGTTTAGCTTAATGTTGTTGGCCTGTTAGTATACACAGTTTATTTTGATATCTTAATATACTATAGGTGTTTAGCTTCATGTTGTTAGTATACAAAGTTCACCTTGAGATTTTTATCGACCTTCCATATATTGACATATCACTATAGCTGTAACCTACAATTACTGTAAATTTCAAACTTCAGCTCTGTCCCAATTTTTAAATGCTGTTTCACCAGTAAATTGCCCACACTTTTACAGACATTTTAAGTAAACTTATGATTTGTTTGGTATACAGACATCCATTTGTCACAACATACACTGTTCATACAAGCTTGTGAACATTTTCTTTTGTTAGGACTACGTATGGCCTAGTGGTTAGCATGCTTTGACTGCGAGTCAAATGGTTCATTGCCACAAAAAATCACTGTGTACTTATCATGAATGCCCTATCCCACTATTCTGTCTGATAAAAATAGCCTATAAGTTAATGATGGGTATTGCTCACTAACTGCCTTCCTTCTATGCTATCAAATTAAGAATGGCTATGCCAGATAACCCTTGTGTAGCTTAGTATGAAAATTCAATGGCAAACTGTTGTGTTTGTAGATTGGCATCTGTGTTAAGATATCTTAAAGTTCCAACTTAAGTTGCAACAGACTGCTGTATTCTTCGGTAACAAGTTGTTTACATATTTACTACCTCTGATGTGCAACTGGTAGCAGGTTATGGAGTAGCTCGTTTTTTTATATGCTTTATTAATACAGTTCAACATTAGAGATATAACTTTATAATGAAAAGCCCTGTAATATAACCATCCCAAAAGAGTAAATATTAGACACCATCTACACTTGCAGACCAACAAACTTTAATTGAACTGTAACAAAACAGTTGAGGCTTTAAACCAATACAGTTATAAGTCATAATGATAGCCAAGAGCAAGATTATTGGACATGCAAGTTATAGCCTGTGAACAGGTTGAGTTTTACAAGTGTCCTTTTAAAACATGTCTGTCACATAAACATACACAATAATAAAATGGTATTTGACAAGAATTTAACTGGTATTAAAACTACAGAGAAAGGTCAAGGATATCGAGCTTATCTCAAATAGAAATTCAAGAGACATAACCCTTTAAAATATTAACCTCCTCGTTCGTATATGATAAAAATTCCTTACATTTAACAGATGCAGAACCACCAACTGTCCTTAAATTTATAAAAACCAGTATTTTTTTATTATTACCTCCATCAATTCTATAAGTTAATTTTGAGTATTTTGCTTTCAAACCGAGTTTACATATTCATCTATATTGTAATAATGTTTGACTATGTTATGTATAAATTGAGTCTGTTAATATATATTAACTGATTTACATTTTACTTTTAATGAAAGGCTCCATATCAAACCTATTTTATTATTACCTACCTGTTAAAGCAATTAAAATCCTAAAGATGGCATAACTATCCATTCACCACCCTAGTATACTTACGCACACACTACCTCAACTTTAAAAAAAGTTCTGTTTTCTTAGGACTATACAATCCAAAAGGCATTTAATATTTTAATGTTAATGTGTGTATATATTATTACAAGTGGGTTTTTCTATCTTATGTCTGACAGTTTTTAAATAATACTTTATTAATAAAATAACAGACATGATCAGCATTATGCGAGATAGTAATGGTGTTTAATCACGGTGTTGCACAAGAAAAGTATTTCACAAATACAAAATATGATACAAGCTTTAGTATGAAGTATTACAACAACAACAATAGCTTCAGCTGATATACAGAAGAATACATGAAAAAGTAGAAACAATAATGTAATAATCCTACAATATAAAACTTGTGTTATACTGATACGAACTGCCTAAATATACCTTGTATTCAACTACTTTTACCAGATTTTTTTATTTCTCTTTAAGATCCATTAAGGAGGAAACATTTCGGATAATGAACAGTATGACCTCTTAATCTTGCATTCTAGTATTACCTTCCCTCGAAAAATTCGTACAACAAATTACAAGAGCATAATTTGAAAAATAATTTGTTACTGTTGCACGTATCAGCCAAAATAAGACTGCCTTTAATAAGTAGGAAGCGCATCTACCAATTACGACCGGATGTTTTAACTTGAACATTGTACTACATACAAAAAAAGATGAATTGCTTCAATATTTTTTCCTGGATGTTGGGTCTAAAACATATTTGAAGAAATTAATAATATTATTGAGATACTTCCACTGTGTTATACTTTCCCTGTTTTGAACTGATAGGCCAAATGGAAGGCATTTAACAACCACCATTAACTCTTCGGTTGCTCCGCTCTCATAATGTGGAAAACCCACAGAATTTTCAAATGAATAAACCAGTTAGATGGTTCTTTGAACGTTTTTAATCCATTAAACTTTAGTGTATATAAATTATTTCCAATCCATTAAAAATCTTGATGAATAATTTGTGTTGGAACTTAAGTTGTTTTTATTTCTATAAGCTCTTTAATGTCATTAAAAAAAAGGTTTTCCTAATCGATATTCCCATCATAATGACCACTACGACACGCTTGGCCTGATTGACGATATCGGTTATTATGGTCCGTACACCTTCTATCGAAGGAGTAAGATCTATAGGTAGGCAGTGTGTGTGTGTGATATTGCATCGCAAACATTTAAACAAATCGTTCTTTACTGGCACTTCACCAGTTTTGACAGAGGCTTTGTGACGAGCTCTATTACCGAGTAAAAAAAACTTTGTCAGCACGGGCGTCCACAGGGGGAGGGGAATGAGATTTTATTATTCATTCAGCACGTGTATATGGACTTACAGGTTTTTTTATTCACAATTCTAATAAAAGTTGCCAGGTTTATCAAAAGCTTTATGTAAAATCTCTAGATATTCCCTGTAGCTAAATCTTGAAAAACGTCGCTACCACAGTGGCTTCCTGGATATTGTATGTGACAGTTATCACTCAGGTCATCAAAAAACTCATGTAGCAACATCCCGTGAACCCTGACGCAGTGTGATCGGGGTCAACCTGTTGCCACCTACCAGTCATACTGGCACAAGGTTATCCAAGAGACTAATGCAGTCTTGGAGACATTGACAACCAACATTTACTTTTATGGATTAGATATAGCTGCAAGTCTGCAGTACGGCTAAAACTAACGTTACAAATATTAAACCCATCAAATCTGCTTGTGGGAGCTGGCCTCTGCTCTTGACTGTAATGGCAAAACTTTGAAGGCAGGACCATAATTCCTACATAGGTATTCAACAACAAATTTAAAAATTCACTGTTTTAGTAGTTGTGAACAAAACACATAGGAATCAAACGTTAAGGCTTATATTCAGATTAAGGTAGAGAATTTCATAAAAGTGTATTGTTTACAATCTTTGATTAAGTACTCACTCCAACACCCTTCCAGATTTTGAAACTATATCTGCATAATCAAGGGTACCCGCAGAAAAAAAATTAGGGGGGGG